GCTTCTGCTTCTGATGTTGCCGAATGTTTTTCCCTTATTCCATACTTGCTTTATTCTTCATAAGTGCTTAGCACCATATAAGGAAATTTATAAAGACCTTTTAACTAGAAGCAAGCAATCTAAAATTACATACATTTTGCAAAAGGTAAAGCATGGATCTGAAGATAATGCAGAAAAATGCTCAGAGGATAAGGATAACTTGCCAAAAAGAAAACGCTCTCGGTTAATTAATAGTGTTTTTAGTGAGGACGAAGAAAACATTGTTTAATTTATATTAATATGTATCACTTAAAAAAATTTTAATGAAGATGTTTATCTTAATTATGAAAATATACTAGCATGTTTTTAAACTTTTGGAACCTAACTCTCCTTTTCGTATTAGTTTTTTGTTTCGTATAACATGGATTCGCATAACACGGCAATTTTTTGGAATGTAACTACCGTGTTATACAGGGGTTACCTGTATTTGCAGACAGTTAGCGATATAATTTGATGTGGTTCCCATGTAGTTATTGAATTTCCAGTTCTATACAGATGTAATATAGTCATTTTATCATATTTATGTTTAGGAAATCCTGTATTTTTCTGATTATGCCTGTAAACTTAGTGACATTTTTTGTTAAATTTTCAATGTGTCTGTCATATCTAAGTTTATCTATTAAAACTCCAAGATATTTTAAGCAGTTAATTCTTTCTATCTTCTTTTCATCTATACTAATATTATAAAGAGGTAATGTTTGTATGTATGTTAGTTTGTATGCAGCAGGTAATCTCCGAAACTATTCATCCGATTTCAAAAATTCTTTCACCAATATTTAGAATGGAACTTCAGGGGGTGGACATAGGCTGTATATTATTCCGTTAAACATGGGAGATGGACAGTTCTTTAAGGGTAAGCCTTATGGGGAAGGCTTACCTTAAAGAACTCTGCTTCTATTTATACTATTTTACATGCGGTTTTTTGCATTTTTGATTGCGTTTTAATAGAGTACGTCAACAAAATGTACACTAAGAAGGGATTTTTCGATATTCTCCGCGGGCGAGAGAGACAGGATTAAGGCTTACTGTGAAGAACTTGGCTTCTATTATACTATTTTAGATGCGGGTTTTTGCGTTTTTGATTGCGTTTTAATAGAGTACGTCAACAGAATGTACAC